TTCACCAGCTTGATCTGTGAATTTTTTCACAGCAAAGCTCTTGTCCGTAAACCCCTTGGTAAGTCCGCTAGTAAGGAATGTGAAAGAAAGGCGTTCTTCATGTTTAACGTCTATCACCAATAACCACGCAGACTGCTGGAATACAAAAACATTGTTTTAGGTCGAGCTTGATTTGTGAAAACTTTCACAATCGTATTTTATCGCGTGGCGGTGTTTATCTTTGCTCTGCCCCCAGTTTTTTTGTAGCCTATAATAATGCCATTCGGTGCTGTTCCTGTGAATAACGGTTTCCAATTCATTAGGTAAATGAGCACATACACACAATTGTACACTTTGTTTGACAATAAAGTTTTGGTTGTTGTACCTTTCCTTGAGTAATTGGCTTCAATATTATGATTCGCAAAAGTTTCACAGTGCAGTGTTGGTCAGTTAACCCTTCCCTAATTCATTTACATCACTATTTATATACAATTGTACACTTTGTTTGACAAAATAAAGTTTTGGTTGTTGTAACTTTCCTTGAGTAATTGGCTTCAAAATTCTGATTTGCAAAGGTTTCACAGTGCAGTGTTGGTCAGTTAACCCTTCCCTGGGTCACTAACATCACTATTCTGATCTGTGAAAACTACTGTGAAAAAATTCACAAATCAAGCTGGTGAAACTGACACCAGTTTCATTCCTCTAAAGTGTCCAACTTTTGGCGCTATAGGCATTATAAAATTAAGAGACGCTACGAAAAAAAAAACCTGATTTCGGCCCGAAGGACAGCGTCACCTGAATTCACAAATCATGCAGAATGATATTCGGTATTATTTGCATGTCTATGACAGCGCGCTGCGTATTTATAGCCAAAAGAAAACTGAATATCAAACCAGTAGGGACTGACTAAATTTAGCATATATTGATATGTTAATGAGGCCTGGGTGAGCCAATTTCCTGAAATCTGTTAGTAGATCTATGTTGCTCCCACTAGTGGAAACTTAACTTTAATCATTAATCAGTAGTAAAATACATGTATTAGGTCAACATACTATAATCACATGAGGTTTAAACAGTGTTAAATGTTAAATGTTTTTATAATATGAAGTTCACCACCAGATGGCAGTAGAGCACATTCTCATTCTGAACTCATCTGCTTCAGTGGACGGATTTGAGATATTTTGTTTAATAAATATTAAGAATTAAGTATTACATTTTGGAGAAAGACAGCCAAAGTTCTAATAATAATATCGCTGTGAATACAAAAGCACTTTATTTCACAGTAGGGATTGCCATTTGCTAAAAATGTCTTGTTTTTACAAGACTTTAAAGTCCGCGTGAACCGGAAGTTGCTGCCGACTTTATTTCAGTGTAGTGACGTATTTCCATCTGAAACGGAATATTGAATAGAGAGCATGGTTTTATTTTTGCGCCCCTCCTCTCTGTCTCTCACTCATAGCAATCTAAGGGTTGGAGGGGTGTGTTTAAGGATATTCTGCCCAAGCCGTCAAACTGACGTCATCAGAAAAGGAATGTCATTCCAGAGCGGAAGTAAATGTTCCGATTTTTATTAAAGATTACCAAGACAAAAATTTTTTTCTGCTGATTAACTTTCTTGGATTAATTGTTAA